CCCCCCCCCCCCAAGTGTACTCTTGTAACTCCGCTCTCTTTTACTGCTAATAACTGAGATATGCACCTAAAAGAGAAGTTTGGTTGATTTTAAAGTTATAGAGAACCGACTAGGTTTTATTTGGAACTACATGCTTCCGTTATGTTTCTTTCTTTTTTGTTCCCAAGTGTTCTGAGTGGTACAAGCACTTCTAACCTTGGGGGATAGACTTCTCACTAAGTTTGGGAGATGTATTTTCTCTTATGTCTTGCAATTGGTTTGAAATATAATCTCATGTCACGTTGTTGATACTTTTCTTAGGGTTGTCACAACTGGACGTCAACTTGCCAAGAGTTTGGAGTTGCAGTCCCTTAATGATTTGGGATTTTCCAAGAGATATGTGAGATGCCTACAGGTATGTTTGAATGAATATGGGATGAGAAGATAGACTTCTTGGGGAAGAAAACACGACATAAATTTTTATCACTCTTTCATGTGTAATCAAAGCATTGGCTTTCTATTGTTTTAGTACTTGAATTCGTTGGCATATGATGTTCAGATAGCTGAGGTCGTGAATAGCATGAAGGACTTGATGGATTTTTGCAGAGATCATAAAGCTGGTCCAATTGGTAACAGATTTGTTTTCTACATTTGTTTGGAACTAAAACTGAAAATACTCATCTTTTGTCATTATTATCTGTACCATGATAGATTGTAATTTTAGAGTGTCTTTTGCATGTTGGGAGAACGCTAAAAACTGGGACATTACTTCTCTGCTTGTTTTGCAGAGGGCTTGAAAAATTTCCCACGACATGGTACTGCAGCCAAATTTCAGGCACAAAATGCACAGGAAACAGAGCAGCAGGTGGGTATTCAGGGTCTGCCAACTGATCGCAGTGCGTTGAACAAGCTTATGTCATTGCACCCTGGGTTTAATAGCCAAATGAGCAATAACCAGCACATGGGTGGTCGGGGAACTTTAAGTGGCTCTGCACAAGCTGCTCTTCAGCTCACAAACTTTCAAAATTCGCTAATGCGGCAAAATTCAGTGAATGCAAACTCAATTACAACCCAACAAGATGCTTCTCCTTCTTTCAATTATTCGAACCACTCTCAATCTTCACTTTTGCAAGGGCCAAATGGTATATTGCCAGGGACAATGCAGAACTTACCTGTCAGTGGCTTGTCAAGTACCAATCTGCAGCAACAACAGCAGCGATTACTGAATAGTGGCTTGCTCCCACAAAATCAATCTCAATCGTCGCATGGTAGCCAGGTCCTACAGCAACAAATGATCCAGCAGCTCCTCCAGGACATGAATACTAACTGCGGTGGGTGTGGAGTTCAACAGCAGTGCCTTGCTGGGCAGAGTGGAGGTGCTAGTGCTTCTAGGGAAGGGCTTGCATTTGGAAACAATAGTTCTGTGGCTGCTGCAACAGCTACACATGGGCCTGGAAGCAGTGTTGGACCAACACCAAGTAGAAGCAACAGTTTTAAATCGGCTTCTAACTGTGAACCCTCTGCATCGGCTGGTAATAGCGCTTTCAGTCAAAAAGCTCCTGATTTGCCTCCAAGTCTGCATTTATCAGATGAGATGGTCCCAGATATGACACATGGATTCAGCGAAAATGGTTTCTTTAGCAGTGATCTTGACAACAATATGAATTATGGATGGAAGGCTTGACTGACATGTTTTGCTCCTTTTGGTTTTGATGAGAAAAGGATACTGCTATATATCTTTGTACAGGTTGATTGTGTTAGGTTTTTTGTTTTCTTCTGATTCTTCCCTATTTTGTAGTTTGAGGCTGTTGTGGTATTAAGCACTTGCCCTCTCTAGGTATTTAGGTCTACTTTCTTTACTTTCACACACTCGGGGTGTTTACACCTCGAAAACCATCCACAAGTGTAATCTATAGAAATGGACTGGAGAACATTATTAACTGCTATTACTATTCTGTTTCAGTTCGTTTGCCCTTCTGGCCCTTCATGTGTGTAAATCCGTGTATTAATGGTTACTGAATAGAGGATGTGAATGACTAAAGGAAGTTTGTAGGGAGGTCGTGCATGTTTCCTGTCAGGCAAGTTCATGGGGAGCATGAAACTTGCAAGATTTTGAGGCGTTTCTGTTTCTTTCACTCTTAACTGATGCCAATCAAAACTCTTATCAATTCTATTTTGATTCATGCCCTTTCATGCAAGATTTCAAAACCTCATGTCTCGAGTAGTTTCTGGTTTTCTGGTTTTCCAAAACGAAATCTATGCTGATTTAGTGATAACTTTGATTTTCCTTGCCCTTTAACGTAATGGACCAATTCTTTTTTTTTTTTGGGTGTCGCACGGAAAACAATTTCTTTTTGGGTCTCAAAGCTTGCTTTCTAGGGCAAAGCGAGGATATACTGTCTAACAGGTAACCAGAGATGCCTCTAGACTCATATACTTTCGACTTCCATACAAATCCTCTTCTATAGCTTATCAGAGGTTTCAGGTCAGAGAAGAGTTTAGAGAAATCGAGACTCCATTAAGGCAAGTAACAAATATTTATATCTTTTGGTGCTTCCAAAATCTGCCTTAGACACTTCAAGAAGAACAATTATCGCTGTATCCACTTTTACCGGCCTTTTCTTTTGGATTTTAAATTGGCAATTTGTGACTCAGTCACATAATAGAAAGAAAGATTACAACAATCTCTCGTTGGCGCAAGGCCAAGCACTGTTGTGGTTGTAAGCAAGAAAACTAACAAACCCAACACTCAGGTGAATAATTAATTTACAGAGCAGCAAAGAAAGGTAAGATCTTTACACTCAGAATCTGTCATTCCCAACTGTTTAAGGCCTAAAAAAGGGCACCCAAACTAGACATCATACTCCTCATCTGAATCATCATCAACCACGACAGCTCCAGCTCCTAGTAGTGTATCCAGGATCATTTGCTCCCATCCCCTTAAGTTTGAACCAAAACTACGAAGCCGAGTACTACTTGACTCTCCTACAGAAAATTTAGTACGTGATTGGCACGAGTTTTCTTTTGGGTAATACTTCAGGTTCCACTTTCCGGATTCATCGAGTATCTCAACATCAAATGCTGGCAAGAGTGGTCTTCCAACAACTTGAACATGCGACACACTATAAAAAAAGGAATCAACAAAGATTATCTTAGAAATCCTGAAGTCGTGAGATTATATTCATGCCCTTTAAAATGCATGTCCTCATTTAGATATACGACAACTATATGGTAGACTAAGACTGCAGTAAAAGCAGGAAATAAAAGACGTTTTGAATTTTGAGGCCAAGAAACCAATAGAAGGAACTGACCATATATAATATTGACCATCCAATTCTTGTCTTTGAACTCTGCCTAAGAGCTCTACTTGTAGGACTCCACCAATGCAAAGAACAGGTTCTGGCAGCTTAAACTTCTGCAAGCTGTTCTCCTGTAACCATAAAAAGAAAACTTAGCTGTTCCACAGTCAAGACACATAAAAGAAAAAAATCTTAACCAAAACTGAGCTGCAGCTGAAGTCGAGTTTAAATTGTTTGCTTTCGTCAGCAAAGAAGAAGATTAGTTCATGGATGAGCACCTAACAGCTGTGTTAAAATGAGTAATATACTTCCGCCAAGTACATGTTCCGACACAAGACAGACCAGGAAATAAGCTTAGTTAGGGAAAACCAGTACTATGACTTGGGAACTAGCTATCATCCCAAGAGTAGATGTCAGCCTATAGTATCCATTTGATCGCTTCATCATGGATAAGAACTATCCAGAATAAAAGAAACTGAAATACTGCTACTGTTTCGCACCTGAGCCATGGGAAATGCTGGTGAGGTATATGTCCATATGATCTTGTCCAACAAAGATCCTTGAGCAGCCGCAGATTCATGTCTGTCGTCACTTTCTACATCTATCTTAACATTAGGATGTCCCACTCTGAATCTCACAGCTTTTGCTGAATAAATGGGAAAGCCAAACTGGAAATACGCTGTTACAAGATCATGATATTTCTAGTTAATGAGAAAAAACAAATAAGCTGAACGAACAAATCCATAACATCACAGAAAATAAGAACTTGAGGTGCAACCTTGAAATGGTTGTACATGAAATTCTGAAATCAAGCACAACTTTGAGATTAATTTATATGTTAGTGTCTCAGGAACAGTAGGATCACTTTCTCCTCTACTTGACCAGTATGAAGCCCTGCGGCCAACCCGGTCACTCGGTTCTAATGTATTCAGAATGCTTTCTTCAGGATAGTTATCAGTGCTTGATGCAAGGATTGCATCTAGTAAGCAATCTTTCCTCGTACAGTTGGAAAGGCCTTGTGCCATAAATGCATAAACTCTGTGATCCCACTCCTGACATAACCACTCGGTAGTTTTTTCAGGCTGAGATACCACTGGTGTAATCGTGTTTTTAACATCAACCATATTTGCAACCCTTGATATTTCAGGAAATCTCCTTAAACAGAGATGCTTACACAATCCATTTCCAATCACTGCACAAAATTGTGTAGTCTGAAGTGAGATGGCTTGGGAAAAAGATCAAAGAGGATGACAAAGACATAGACACCCTGATTTTTTCGTTTCAGCAAAGAAACTCTTGCATAATAATATACTCGTACCATTCTTTTAACAGCATAAGGCACTAAGCATTAAATGTTGATGAAGATGGCTGTAAATAAACTACGTATAAAGATTAAGTCCTCATCCATAGAAATAACAGTACCTCTGCTTGGCTATCTATTTAGAATGGAACTAATGGAATGGGAAGGGAAGGGGATGGAACTGCATTTTATATTACCACAGCCAATTTCAAGAAACCATTTCACGGTCTTGTGTGTGATATGATGGACAAATATAAAACCCATAAATGATAAAACCCAGCACCCAACAAGTATAATAAGCGAAGTCACCAATCCCTTGAAGTTTATTCCATTTGATTCCAGCCGAGACAAATGAAATTACAACTAGCACAAAGAAGCTTCTGAAACAGTACAATAGCAACAACGCCTCAGTCCCAAACAAGTTGGAGGCAGGCTATATGAATCCACACCGACCATGCTTCTCCATTTAAGCTGAACTCATATCATCAATATACAAGCTTATGACATAGTCCAGCAAATTGGGGAGCAGAAATGAAATGAAATGAAATGCAATGGCAGTGAAAGGAAAGGCGGTCATAGTTTACCGAATTGGCGCCAAGAACTAGAAACAGCAGAAACCCGAACAAGATCAGAAGGATCCTCCAAACACATTAAGATCTTTATAGACATATCAGGTAGAAGCCATTGCATAAAATCCCCACATCTCTCCATTTCTTTTGTTTACAAACTTATTCTCCCAAAATAAAACCTCGTAAAGCTTCAATCTTTATATCACTCTAAGGCGTTCAGTCACCTATCAAACCCAACAACAACAAGACAAACTTAAAAGTTAAAACCGATAATTTAATGCAGCACGCTGACAAATAAGCAAAGATGTCAGTCAAAACATACTTCTATTTGATATAAACGCACCCCAAAATATCGCTAAGGTTGAATTCAGAATCCTAATCCAAAATACCAAAAAGACAGAAAATTCATGCTCTTGGGTCAATTGGGTTCCAAACAAGACAATAAAGACCCATAATTAAGTTACTGAAACCTATTCATTAAGAAAGGAATAGATTTTATACCAGGACAAGGGAAAGGTACAAAAAAGAAAAGGGTAGTGAAGAAAGGAATTTACCTTTTACAAGAAGTAAACAATATGATAAGGATCTAAACAAATGAAAATGAGAAAGAGAAAGGAGTTGATTAATGGGTGGTGGCAGAAACCGCACCAACCGACAGCCACAGCTTTAGATCAAATTCTAAAGGGAAAGTAATTAAAGCTAAAAAAGGATATTAGTAGTATATATATACAAAGTCAAGACTCAAATGTCATTATTGATTGATAACACGCCATTAGGGACAACAATCAAGATTATTTATGTCTTTACTTATGATCCCCCCATTCCCATATACATACATTAGAGAACGACAGTACTAATACTTACCTACTAAAAATTGGACTATTATTTCTGAAGCAGAGATGATAACACGATAGATACAGGAGGAAAGGGAAACTGCAAAGACAGGTTTGATCGTATTCAGCGGATGGGTCACTGTCATTGTCTGGTGCACGTGTCAAGTTTTGCCCTTAACTTTGATTACCATATCCGTTAGAGAAATTGAACAGTGGTTGAAACATGGTTGACACTCCATTTTATGCTCCTTTCTTTCTGGAATTACTGATCCAAGAAACGTGCTTATACATGTTAAGTTTCATAAGTTGTTGTTGGATTAAGATTATATTGCATTCATGCTTAAAAGATGTAAAGCTGTAACTTCTTGTATCTGTTTCTGTTCCTGTACTATAAGTGAGAGTAACCACGCAGCTATGATCTACATGCCTCGCATATGGGACAGTTTTGAAATTTTACGGTTTATATGCATTCAAGATATTGTGCTTGCTAACTTTATTACTTGTAACATAAAAATAACTTTAGTATCATTTGAGGGATGAACTCGATCTAACTCTATCATACATATTTTTATGGCTCCAATTTTTAGGTAATAAAGTTATTGGACACATGCACAACATGAGCTATCCCTTATTAGTCATACATACAAATCTTGTTTTGCTCTTTTAGTTAAAAGTTAAAGGCTCTTTCTCAAAAAAATAATTGTCCCGTTTTCTATTTTTAGGAGTAAATTACTTATATCATCACTCAATCAACTAAAATTATGGAGTAGAGTCACATTTCCTTTGTTTGTAACACGAAAGTCTCTCAACTATTCCTATTACACATAAATGGTCACTCATCGGAATTATCAAAAAATTTGGTAGAAAAATATGATGTGGCAGTTCATATGGACGTTTTATATTTTTGGACCAAATAAAATAATTAACACTCAAACAAAACATAGAGAATTCACTCATACACCTAATTCGACCCACTAAAAATTAAAAATTCACCCGATAAATAAAACCAAAACGCTAAAACGTAACCCAGTTGGAAATGCATCTCTCTTCTTCTTATAAAAGTAGCCCTCATTTTCTTTTCATGGTTTCACTCTAGTTCTATAAAAGAATAGTGGGTACGAGATTAAGGACTATGGACCAGAGTGACTAGTATTCTTCTTTTCTCAATGACCAGTATTCTTCTTTTTCATGGTTTATGTATACGGGTAAAATCGAACTCAGGATTAGACCGAGCATCCAACACGACAATTTGGGATCGAGGGATAGTGATAAAATCACAGAAATCGGTTCCTGCCTTGCCGAATTACCCACCGGAACTACTAGACTTGCCTTCGAGTTTATCGAGGTCATAACCGGTCTCGGTTATAACGGTCTGAAGGAAAATATTGCCAGCTTATCTGACAAGGGTCCAAAATTCCCTCAACTAACCCAACGTTACAACGAAAATCACGGAACATACCAAAAAAGGGGGACCAACAGTGAGCAAATCCAAGACTGTTTATCTTTTATAGAACAATAGAATAATACCCTAAAAGTAGGACTCCTCTAATATATTAAGGGGGCCTAGCGACTCATAAAAGGGCATTGTAACATACACTCATGAGCAATATATTACCGTTATTCTCTAAGTTCTTATCCTTTGGTATCTTGGTGTCAATCAAAGTACATTCAACTCAAGGGTGACCAACTTTCATAGGCTGGAATTATCCAATTCGTGTGGTTTACAGTTAATTTATAGTTATTTATTTCAATTACAATCTAATTTATCGTTCAGTATCAAGTTAATCCGCATATCCTTTAAACCACTAACAAATTCAATTGTTATCCGATTTTGAGGGTAAACAATTTGGTGCCCACCGTGAGGCTAAGGATAATAGCGGCAGTTTGATATGAATCACCATAACATATCCCATTTTACACTTATTCTGTGAAGTATTTTTGATTTCAGGTTAGGATCGAAATGTCAAACCCACAGTCTGTCCCTTTAAACATAGACACAAAATCTGGCCACCACGGTAGGAACAACAATGCAACGCTCGGTAACGAGGCAACACCGGTCATTCTTGGTAGAATCCCGGTGGTGGTTCCCATCGACGCCTATTCACATATGGCCATCGACACAAACCAGCCCACCGATCCCGAAAACAGCGTGCGTAGGGAAGTGCGTTCGATTTCCCAAAACACTCACGATGGCAAAAATGATGAGATCAACCTACGTATGATCTTCGAAATGCTACAGGCTCAATAGATGGCGATAGCTCAACTGTAGAACCAAGGTCGACACTGAGCAGGAATGAACCCGAGCTCCCCCGGGAAGCCATCCGCAGGAACGAACCAATCTCGAAAAGAACAAGCGAGAGTGAATCAGGGACTAATCCCGAAATCATAAAATTGCTCGAAGCGGATAGAAACATGGGAAAAGAAAATCGAAGCCAATGATAAAAAGGTGTAAACCTACAATTCCAGGGTCGACCAAATCCCAGGATCACCCCCGATATTAAAGGGCATGGATTCCAAGAAATTTATTCAAAAGCCTTTTCCCCCGAGCGTAGCTCCAAAGCCGATCCCCAAAATGTCTCGCATGCCCGAAATCCCTAAGTACAACAGAACGACCGACCCTAACGGGCATGTAACCTCTTATATATGCGCCATCAAAGGGAATGACTTGGAAGATGATGAGATCAAGTATGTCTTGTTGAAAAAATTCGAAGAGACTCTGTCAAATGGAGCTATGATATGGTACCACAACCTTCCTCCTAATTTTGTTGACTCATTTGCTATGCTTGCAGATTCCTTCATAAAAGCACATGCCGGTACTATAAAGGTCGATACTAGGAAGTCACACCTTTTCAAAGTAAAGCAGAGGGATAATGAGATGCTCAGAGAATTCGTTTCTCGATTCCAAATAGAACGTATGGATTTTCCCCCGGTCGCGGACGATTGGGCTATTCAGGCTTTCACTCAAGGGCTCAACAGTCGAAGCTCATTGGCTTCACAGCAGTTGAAACAAAACTTGATAGAATATCCAGCCATCTCTTGGACCAACGTCCATAACCGTTACCAACCAAATATCAGGGTTGAGGATGACCAACTCGGGACCCCTTCCGGATCCGTGCACCCCGTCCGGATCATCGACCGAGCCAAGAGAGACACCGATCATGAACCTAGATCAAATCGGGTTCGGTATCAACCGTACAGTAGGGACCAGAGAAGTAGTGCGTACGAGCGAAACCCCATGAGAAATGAAAGAAAGAATAACCGAGGACTCATGAGTAAAAATAGCTTCGACAGGCCCATCGGGCCTAAAGAAGCACCGAGGCTATCAGAGTAAGATTTCGGCATCGATATTTCTGCTATCGTGTCTGCCATCGGACACATCAAAGATACCAAATGGCCTTGACCTTTGCAATCTGATCCAGCCCAAAGGGATCCTAACCTAATATGCAAATATCACGACACTCATGGTCACAGAACGAAAGATTGTCGATAATTAAGGGAAGAGGTATCCCCGCTGTTCAACAATGGACATCTCCGAGAATTCCTCAGTGATCGGGCAAAGAGACATTTTAGGAACAAGGATTCTAATAAACGAACCGAACCATAGGAACCTTAGAACGTCATAAACATGATCATCTATGGGGTCGACATCCCCCAGGGACCGATGCTGAAGCGTACCAAACTTTCCATCACAAGGGAGAAACAGACTCAAGATTACCTATCGGAAGGAACCTTGTCGTTCAACGACAAAAATGCAGAGGGGATCGTACAACCCCACAATGATGCACTGGTAATATCGGTACTCATAAATAAATATAGAGTTAAATGTGTGTTGATTGATCGAGGTAGCTCGGCCAACATTATCAGATCGAGGGTCGTGGAATAACTCGGCCTACAAGATCAGATCGTACCTGCAGTCCGAGTCCTAAACGGGTTCAATATGGCCTGTGAGACCACTAAAGGGGAAATAACATTACCGGTGAACGTCACCGGAGCCATTCAGGAAGCTAAGTTATGTGTAATCGAAGGGTATACGAGATACAACGCTTTGCTCGGAAGGCCATGGATTCCCAACATGAGAGCCATACCCTCGACATTACACCAGGTGCTGAAATTTTCGACGCTCGAAGGAATCAAAATAGTTTACGGGGAACAACCGGACGCTAAGGAGATATTCGAGGTCGATGAGGTGATCTTGAAATCCACACTCTCAGTGTCTAAGAATCTGAATCCAGTGGTCAAAAATGGGGCCAAATAGCAATCATCGATACCAACCTCGATAGAATTGGAGGGGCGAGGGATAGACGAGGACAACGACTACGGAGTCCCCAGGTCTTTCATAGCCCCGATGATTCTGATGCTACAAAATTAACGGTCGAGGAACTGGAACAAGTCGTACTAAGTGAACATTTGCCCGATCGAAAGGTATACCTAGGCACATGGTTAAACCCCGAGCTTAGGAAAAAATTCATTCAATTTCTTATAGCTAACAAAGATTATTTTTCTTGGTCCCATAACTATATGACAGGGATACCGCTGGAAATAACCACTCACAAGCTAAGCTTGGATCCGAAGTTCCACCCGGTTAAGTAGAAGATAAGGCCCTAGTCCGAGGTCAAACCTTCTTTCATCAAGGATGAGGTATCTAAACTCCTCAAAACAGGGTCCGTTCGGGAAGTTAAATACCTGAATTGGCTAGCAAACGTAGTGGCAGTTCCCAAGAAAGGGGATAAATTAAGAATATGTGTAGACGATAAGGATTTGAATAAATCATTTCCCAAGGACTCCTTCCCTCTGCCCAACATCGATCGCATGATCGATGCCACGACCGTCCACGAGATCCTCAGCTTTCTCGATGCCTATTCTGGGTACAACCAAATACGGATGAACCCGGATGATCAGGAAAAAACCTTCTTTATCACTAGATACAACACATACTGCTATAACGTAATGCCATTCGAGTTAAAAA